AAATTGTTCAGTTCGACCTTCTTGGCGGTTATATACTTTATAGGAATTAATAATCTCCCCATAACGCGACAGCTGTTTAAATCTTAATGCAAGGTTTAGGGCTGGCTTGTGTCTTGCGTCAATATATGGGCTAGCAGAGGACTTATTTATGATTTATGTAATAGCATTTATGACGCAAAACTTGGCACCTAAATTATAGCGTCGCTAAAAAATCCCGATAGAATGCTTTAAAATGGCACTTCATGTGGAAACACGTTGGGCGTTTGCAGATACCATCTCATAATTGATATATCATGTTACGCGCAGACGGGAATTGCATCGGCAATACTTGGCCCGGCATCTAACGCATCGCAGCATACACAAGCATGTGCCAGGCAGGTACGATACGCATGCGATGCGCATACACACACATCTACATCTACAACAACAACACGACACACACACACACACAACACATCATTACACACTCACACACACACACACACCACACATCTACAACACACACACCACGCACAATCACCACACACACACACACACACACACACACACACACACACACACACACCACATCACACACACACGACACACACGACAGCATCAGCACACACACACACCACACACACACACACACACACACACACAACACACACACACACACATCACACAGCACACACCAAACACTAACATCTACAGCACCACACAATCCACCACACACAACACACACACCACACACACGACACACACACCACACACACACACACAACCACACACAACACCACCACTCTCTCTCCTCTCTCTCTCTCTCACACACCACACACACAGCACACACACACGCACACACACACACCGCAACGACGCCGCGCAGGCGCCCACACACACACCACACCACCACCACACACTGATGAATAGAAAGAGATGAGAAGAGAGAGAGAGAGAGAGAGAGAGAGAGTGAGCGCGAAATAAGAGAGAAAAAGAGAGATAGGGCGGCGAGTGCACCGTCGCATAGCACGCCAGCGCACACGACTTACTCTCTCTCTCTCTCTCTCTCTCTCTCTCTCTCTCTCTCTCTCTCTCTCTCTTCTGAACTCCTCCTTCTCCTCCTCCTCCTCCTCCTCCTCCTCCTCCTCCTACTCCTACTCCTCCTTCTTCTTGTTCTTCATCTTGTTCTCTCTTTCATCCCTCCCTCCATCGTTCTATTGCTTGGATGCGGGTATAAAGAAAGGAACTACAAGAACTAGGGTAAACCGATAATCTGTATAATAAACTCCCTCAAATAGTGTAGTTTGACTTGTGCGTGCGTGCGTGCGTCAGTGAGTGTGTGCATGTGTGCCTGCGTACATGTGTGCGTGCGTGCGTGCGTCAGTGAGTGTGTGCATGTGTGCCTGCGTACATGTGTGTGAGTGTGCGTGCGTGTGCGTGAGCACGCGCGTGCGTGTACTTGTGTATACACGATACTCGGTTTGCCTGACACTGATCGCAACAAGAACGCGTGGCTGCGTGGGTATAAGCCATAAATACCCTAACTTAGGGTAGCTGTGCACACACCTCCTCGGGTTCACATCTACCGTCGAGTAAAAATCGCATAGTCATCGCTGTTGGTTTACGTAGTGTTGAGTTATTAATATTTCTATCATTCTATCTCCATGTACTAAACGCGAGCACGCGTGCATCTCCCATTAAAGAGATTATACGAGAGCTTTTTGAGATTAATCTCTATTCATCCGTGCTGACATAGCCTGACTGATATAATAGAAGAGTTTAATAATCGCTTATATTGGATGCTCGAACTGGTTTGCCATTATAAAGTCACTGGACCTAAAATGCCCACGCGCACCTACTAATTTATGCACAGCATACCATGTAATCACCTCTATGGGGTTAGTGGTTTTCCGGTACAGTTTTGCTCTAAACCCTCACTTATATAGAGGGTTTAACAAATCAAACAAAACGTTCGTACTAAGATCTGAACAGCGTTTCGACTAATGTGTGGATATTGTTGCTTAGATCTAGTAGCCCGTTAAGTAAACGGCTAAGGCTGATTTGAATAGCATTGTTATATGGAGTAATTACTTCAAGGCATGGCAGCGTGCCAATATAAAGGAAAACCTTGGGGGTACAATCCTAAACAACATGCAAATCGCTGAAGTCGAAATGTAAAGACTCGTATGTAAAATCTCGTCAGGAATCATCATGAACTAGATACACATGTCATCTCATAGAATTTTTTTCGCGGCACACGTAATGCATGAAAATGTTAAAACAACACGCAGAAAAAGTTTCAAGGGACAAGGAGAAGAACATAAGTCTAATTCTGCGCGTTTTCTGTCAGGAAATAATCTTTAAAACTAATTTATTTTGTAGAACATTATATATTAAATAAATTGTGCGTAAATTGTGACCGCGTTTTAATGTAGTCACATCGTTTCTTTATTATTCTTTTTTAGTCATGTTTTCTTATGCCTATATAGGCCTACATCTGGTGTGCGTACATAGATGTATGCGCAGTTGCGTGCGTTAGAGCAATAATTGCGCGTACATGTCAGTTGTGTTTGTGCGCCCTTGTGTGTGTTTGTCTATATTTATGTGTGTGCTTATATATGTGCAATTTGACAATTGAAATCTATGGGACGTTAATCCACTATTCTATTGGCAAGCAGGTTTTGAATTCAAAAGCATATATAATTGATGGCTCGCTCTTTCTCTAGGGCTAGATGTCAGTATGTTGCGTTAATTACGGTGCATAGATGCACGCACAGTTGTCTGGTTTATGCACGGCTGTAAACTTCAACAACAACACCGCGTAAACCGTAAGCACACTGGATTAGGTTCATTGCCACATCGTGCCGCTTCTCTCTCTTCCTCTCTCTCTCTCCGCAATACACCTCTCTTACAACAAAGAGCCCTCTGTCTCAGACCGAGGATAGGATTTACTACATTCTTGATCCATTTTCCTATATATTCGCATCGTTTCCGCTCATTAGTGAATCTTCTCGAGTAGACGAAGCACAGGGTTCATGCACCACATAGACAGGAATTCCATCGTGACCTTCTATGTATAGATGCCACCCGGTAGGCCTACATGAAACAGGGCAATCTGTGTGATACGACGCGTACATGCGCGTCCAGCTTATGTTGGCCAATTTGGCGCGGAGTTGCGTCTGATTATGATTGTGGATCAGGCCATACATCAGCGGCATATACGGTGCATATACTGCGCCAAGCATTCGAATTAGTCCGTCATTACCTCTTATAACTACGTCCTCACCGAAATCTATATATCACGCTAGTTATAATCTAAGTATGGTTTACGAAACGTCGATCTATGATCAAGTGCTATTTATCTGTCTGACGTCATAAATCGTTCGCGCTTGCACGAATGCTTGCAAGCTCTCATGATTGTATTCTTGCACGCGGGTACGCACGCACTCACTCACTCACTCAATCACTCGTGCACACGCGGACTTCGCCAACCCGATATTGGATTGCAAGTTTTTCAATAGTTAAAATATGCATCTTGTACGAATAATTTTGACGTACTATCTTACCAATTATGAAATGGCGCAAAGTTATTGCAAAGGGCTAGCGTCACCATACGCTGACACCATAAATAAACAATAGTTTCCAACTATAAGCAGCCAGATAATAAGATAAAATAACTATAAGAGCTAGCATTTATTCGCGTCCAAACGAATCTATCCATTATTTAGTACGTATGTGTTGACGTGGGCCCACCACGTTGTAATTTTAATGCAACCAACAGTATTGATTAGGCCAACATTCATATAACGTTAGGCATGGCCAATGCCTACATAACTTGTATATATGACTTGTATATAACTGTTATATAATCCCCGCTTTTTATACAAGACGAAAGGCAAAAAAATACGCGAAAACGGACGCACGCACACACGCTTGCTCATATATAGGTACACATCCATATTCGTATGTACAAACGAAAACTACACACACACACACACACACACACACACACACACACACTCACACACACACACACACACACACACACACACACACACACACACACACACACACGAGACGACGAGAGAGAGACGCGACGAGAAGAGAAGAAGAAGAGAGAGACGAGAGAGAGAGAGAGAGAGAGAGAGAGAGAGAGAGAGAGAGACGAGAGAGAAGAGAGACGAGAGAGA